TGTACGTGATGCCCCTGCCTTCTAGCACAACCGAAGGACATGGACAGGCGTGTAGGTTTTGTTTTTTTAAACAAGTGTGGAAAAAAAAAGCGTTCAGATTTAAGATTTTCTTTTATTGTCGTAAAGTGTGCATAAGATAAATTTTACTGTTTTAACCATGTTTCAGTGTGCAGTTCAGTGGTAATAAGGTGTATTCACATGTTGTACGACTATCACCACCATCCATCTCTCGAAATTTTTTGTCTTCCCAAACTGGGACTCTGCCCCCATTAAACAATAACTCCTCATCGCACACCCTCCCCAGCCCCTGGTGACCACCGTCCTACTTTCTGTCTAAGAATTTGATTACTCTAGTACCTCATATAAGTAAAATCATACAGTATTTGTCCTTTGCTGATTGGCTTATTTCACATAGCAAAATATCCTGAAAGTTCATCTATGTTATAACATGTCAGAATTTCCTTCCTTTTTAAGGCTGGGTAATATTCCCTTGTATGTGATTAGCACATTTTTCTTACTTGTTCATCCATCAGTGGACACATGGGTTGCTTCTACCTGCTACCTAACGTGGCTAATACTGCTATGAACGTGTGTACATAAACGTGTCTTTGAGACCCAGCTTTCAGTTCTTTTGGGCCTGTACCCAGAAGCAGAATTGCTGGATCATTTGGTAATTCGATTTTAATTTTTTTTAGTAGCCACCGTAAGGTTTTCCATAGCGGAGTTAAGATTTTGAAGAACTCCATCGTAGGGGAATTTAGAGAGAGAAACATGCAATTTTCATGTTCTTAAATTGGTTTATCAAGACAGCATTCCTCCTAATAATGATAGCGACCATAACCACAATCGCTGCCCCTTACTCAGCCCTGAGGACGTGTGGGGGTCTCTTGTGCACTTCCTTTCGACAGCGTATGAGCCAGGTACTGTTGTTAGGTCATCTGACAGGTGCGGAAAACGAGGGTTAGGGAGTTTAAGGACTCGCCCAAGGCCACTGGCGTGAGGATCGGGAACCTACACCATCTGACTCCACAGCCCACATCCTTCCCACCGTCCCATCTGTGTCCTCACCTCTCATCTCCTTCTATCTAAAGAAGTTTATCTTGTGTTAGATTCATTTGGCTTCTATTTCAATTCCTTGGTAGTCTGTTTCGTGCCCGTGAACTGAACAAGACCCTGGAAAACGGCGGCGGTGGTGGGCCAGTAGTGGTTATCACTCCCCACGCTGGGTGCCAGCTCCCCTGCTGGTTAACTGATGTGCAGCACGGGGACCCTGACCAGCCGCACCCTCTGCTCTCTCACCTCTGTCTCTAAAAACTGCTGAAGATTCCGATACTGTTTCTTAAAATGATAGACTAGCGCCCAGCACAGGCTCTGGCACGTAGTTGATGTTCCTCCAAGTTCTGTAGGAATGAAGGAGACACAGAGTGGAGGGTTCTTTGCACAAACACAGGAGGGCATGACCCAGCCAGGCCCCTGGCTCTCTGGAAGGCCCCTGTGCCCTGTCCTTGTCCCCCCGCAGATTCGACCATCTGGTGGCGATAGAGCGCGCGGGAAGGGCTGCGGACGGCAATTACTACAACGCGAGGATGGTGAGCATGAGGCACTTGGTGGACCCCATCGACGAGCTTTTCCTGGCAGCGCAGAAGATTCCTGGCATCTCATCAACTGGTAAGCGAGGGGCACTGAGATTTCAAGAAGACCAGCACTTAATGCCTTGTCATTGACTGTGGACCACAGGACTGGAAGGAGTTATACGGGACCATTGATTTCCACTCCAGAGAGGCTCTTTGTTTATTAGGATTCGTATAGACAATAATGACTCTGTAAACATTTAGAAATCCAGTGTTCCCATGAGCAGTAATGGGAAATGACACTTAACCGAGCATTTTCTATTTGCCCAACTCTAAAATATTAAAACTGACAATAAAATAATGACAATAATAAAATCAAAACATGGTACATAATTTTGGTCATATAGGAGGAATGTACCATGTGTATTATGTACCATCTTATGAAGTAGATTAATTTTAAAATATATCTTAAATTTATGATTAGTGTGATATTTTGATCACTAATAATGTAATGGTGTGATCATTCATGTTTGTACAGAACTCTGTAATTTTCAAAGAGGTTTCACAACCATTATATTGTTTAAGCCTCTTTAAAATCCTGTAGGTAAGACAGGTATGGTTTCCAAAAGTGAGGCCTAGGGAGGTTTCTAGAGGTTGCCCAGCTAATCAGTGTTGCCAGTAGGATTAGGAGTCCAGACCCCCAGCGCCCTACCTGACATGCTTTCTATGGGCTCCTTTATGAATCTCTGAAGGCTGGATGTGACCGGAGCACCAGCATTGCTCCCCCAGGGTGGCTGTCATACCCTGGAGTAGTTAAGATGTATTTGTCATTCCATATTTATTTCTTCTCTCCATTAAAACTCTTCAGAGAGTTTCCCAGACTCATTAGTTGCCTTTGGCTTTTGAGGTTTTGATGAGACAATGAAAGGCTTCCTGGCTGAGTAGAAAATTTCTGCAAATCACCCTGGTCTTTCCCAGAAGAGACCTTGGGTGTGGTACCCACAGGGCGCTGGCTTTGTGCTTCCTGCCTCTCTGGGCGGGGCAGGCGAGGACCTGAGGCCCAGGGAGGTGGCGGGGAGGCATCTCAGGGTGGAGAGGAAGGGATTTCTGCATCCAAAGGGGGAGCAGGGTCCACAGGAGCCATAGAGCAGGTGCTCTTCCCCCGCCAAATGGACCCCCGGTCTGTGCTGATTCCCCCAGTGATGCCCCCAAGATCCCAGAGGAAACAGGTGGAGCCGGCTGTTTGTGCTTGCAAGTTACCCCCTTTGTGGACCCTGACCCTTCGCTTGGCACCAGAAGTCCAATCCGCTCCTGTGTCTGCCTGCAGCCCCCTGTTCAGCAGAGCTGCCCACCGCCCAATGCTCCTTTCTCTCCTCTGCTCCATCCACACTGCCTTGTCATGAAATCGCGTCAGTTGAGAATCAAGACACCCACCTCCCACTTACTACCCGGGCCCTGCCCCTCTCAGAGACAGGGAGCAAGGCCACAGACGGGGCAGGGGAGTGAACAAGATGAAACTCATAAAATGCCGAAGTGCAGAGACAGAAGTAGACAGAACTCCAGCGCTGGGGGTTGTTGCTGTTGTCCTTCGTTCAGTGGATCTGGAAAACTGTTCTGAGAAGACCCTCAGGGTGCAGACCTCAGGCCTCGCAGCCTAAGGTCTCCCACCGAGACCAGGTCTCCGGTGCCCCAGATGAGTCAGCTCCAGGCCCCTCCCCAGCTTCCCGCAGTGAGTGCTCACCTCTGGTGGAATTCTTCCACGTGTTTGTAGAAGCAGACACAAAACAGTGCGACAACCCTTCTGCAGGCTGGGAGGCCTGGCTCTTTGTCCTTAGGGCACTTGGACTTGAGGGCACTTTTACCTTGAGGCCCCTGCAACCATCTTCCAGAGGCCGATTCAGCTGACCTGCCGTCTACAGAGTCCTCCAGAAGTACCTGGACACGGGACTAAGTGGTGTTTGAGCACCGCCTGGCAGGGCGCAGGCTGCAGGGCTTGTTAGAGTTTGTCTCACCTCGTTCCCGCACGGGTGCAGTTGCCTGTTCGCTAGGCGTAGCCCGTTCACCTATTTTGAACACCATTCATCTCGCCAATGAATTAAATAATTTCTAACATTTATTTATTCTAACGTATTTATTCTAGCATTCATTATGCTAACTAACAACCTTCTGGTGCCTATCAGACTGGCCTTTAGGCTGAGGTCTCTTTCAAATACCAACTGGCCACCCCCCGGGTGTGTAATCCTGGTTAGGCTGCTGTACATGTTAACCAGGCGTCCATCTGGTGTGGATTAAAATTAACTGGCACACAAACACTTTACATTCTTTAAACGGAAGCCTGTACAGTAAATTACAGAATTGACTTGAACAACCTGTACCAGTTCCCTTCTGCCAATGGAATGCTGTCTGGTCACATTAATGGGGCTCAGGGGCTGTGGCCCCTCCCTAAGCAGAGGCCACTCAGAAAAGAGGCAGTCCTGAGAGTCACCATCTCCTGTGAACCTGGCACCTTCAGCATAGAGGGCACTCCATCTGTGACTAGAGAGATGGCCCACTAGGGGACATGGCCACATGCTGGTGAGTTCCAAGCTTCGACTCATTTTTAGCTAGAGAAGTTTCTAGAATACCTGAAGAAGTACATCATCCCCTGGTTGTCTGAAAATGTATCCAGAGTCAACCCCCTCCCCCACCCTATGGCATAAGTGAAGGGGCCTTCCTGCCCCACGACCACCCCCCATCTTGACTGATCCTATACACTGACTCAGTTCCCCTTCCCTCCAGGGGTTGGTGATGGAGGCAATGAGCTTGGGATGGGCAAAGTCAAGGAGGCCGTGAAGCGCCACATACGAAATGGGGACGTCATTGCCTGTGACGTGGAGGCTGACTTTGCTGTTATCGCTGGTGAGTGCATGGACGGCCAGCCAGTCAGACAAGGCTGCCCAGGGGCAGGGACCTGGCTTAGAGCCTGTGCAGCCAAAAACTCATCTGCTTCACGAGCAGAGTGTAAAGGGCACCAGGGCAAGATGGGGACAGACTTTCTCAGTCAGTCAGTCAACAAACATTTACTATGTGCCAGGCATTGCTCTGTGCACTGAGGCTGCAGTAGCAAGGGCCCTGCTCCACAAAGCTCTTGCTCTAGTGTTGGATGGTGAGTCTCAACAAATACATACATCAGATGGTGCTGAACAGCGGTAAGAGCCACACAAGGGCGAGAGAGAGCAGTAGGCAGGCCACTTTACAAAAGCGATTAGGGAAAGCCTCTCTGGAGAGGAGTCGCCTCTGCTTTTGCCTCCTGTGCGGTGGAAAGGCAGAGAACAATCTGGCGAATGTTTGGAGGATGCAAGAGACTTCCCACTCTCCTTTCACTAACCCCTGCCCCAGGCTGCCCTGCCCCTCCCTGCAGCTGCTCTTCCCCATCAGGACCAAACTTTCCTGCGTCCAGGTCCTTCCAGGCCCCACCCTTCCTCCCTGGACTGCACCACAAGTTTCAGGAATTTTAACAGATACCTGAGAGGCCCTCTCCCATTTCATTATCAGAAAGAGCCCAGAGATGAGCAGAGATGTCTGTAGGAACCAGCACCTGGATAAGAAGATCAGAACCATAACTGGCAAATTGCTGGATGTTTCCTGTGGACAAGTCTGAGTCAAAAGCTCCTGGTAGCTAAGACGGGGTAGGGGGAATACGGAGACCAGTCCTAGGAGCTCCCATGCTTCTGTGAGCTTTACCTCGAGGAGCTCTACCAGGTCCACACAATGAATATCAGAGAAAATCCCCTCATGCTTTAGGTAGGGGAGGGAAATGGAACCATTCTGAAATACACCAGAGCACTCTGTTCTTCTGAACAAGGCCTGCCCTCAGAAGAAACAATTTTATCAGAGCCTAGCCTGCTGGGGTTTTATCAGAGCCTAACTTACCTAGGGAAAGGGACATACCCAAAAGGAGACAACATGCAACAACAGGTGGATAATGTAAGCAGACAAATGGAAATTCTAATAAAGAATCAAAAAGAAATGCTAGAGACAAAAAACAATTTAACAGAATAGGGAATGCTTTTGACATGCCCATGCGTAGACTGGACACACGTGAGAAAATAATCTCTGACCTTGATGATATGACAGTAGGAACTTCCAAAACTAAAAAGATAAGAGACAAAAGACAGAAATAAACAGAAAGGAATATCCAAGAATTGCGGGACAACTACAAAGGTGTCAGGTACATGTAACGGGAATACCAGAAGGAGGAAAAAGAGAACAGGGTACAGAAGCAGTATTTGGAGCAATAATGACTGAGTATTTTCCCCCAGATTGATATCAGACACCAAACCATATACTCAGGAAGCTCAGAGAACACAAAGCAGGATAAATGCCAAAATCTACACCTAGATATATGTGAGAACTTCTGAAAATCAACAATAAAGAAAACATCTGTAAAGAAGCTAAAGGGAAAAAACACTTTACCAAAAGAGGAGCAAACATAAGAATTACATCTAGTTTCTCCTCAGAAACCACCCAAGCAAGAAGAGAATGGAGTGAAATATTATATAGAGTGTTGATAGAGAAAAACTACCAACCTAAAATTCTGTGTCCTGGAAAATTTTTCATCGTAAGTGAAGGAAAAATCAAAAATTTCTCAAACAAAAATCAGGGGAATTTATTGCTAGTATAACTGTCTTGCAGGAAATGTTAACAGAAATTCTATACAGAGAAGGAAAAGTCTATAGGTCAGAAACTCAGATCTACACAAGAAAGGAAGAGCATTGGAGAATGAATAAATAAAGGTAAAATTAAAACTTTTCTTTTTCTTTTTCTTACTTGATCTAACTGATAATAGTTTATTCAAAATAATAGTGGTGATAATATCATCAGTAAATATATGTTTATGTGTATATATGCACATATGTATGTGAAATGAATGACAGCAATGATACAAGGGATGGGAGGGGGGAATTAGGAATATTTTGTTATTATAACATGCTTGAGCTACCTGTGAAGTGGTTATTTGAAAGTGGACTTAGATTTGTTGTAAATGTATATTGCAAACCCTAGGGCAAACACTAAAAGTTTTTCTAAAAAGAAGTATTGATATACTAAGAAAGGAGAGAAAATAGCATCATATAAAGTGTTCAACTAAAACTACAAAAGTCAGAAAAAGTGTGAAAGACAAAATACGAAAAAGAATAAAGGCACAAATAGAAAACAGTAACAAATATGGTAGATAGTAACCAATCATATCAATGATCACCTTTAACGTCAATGGTCTAAATACTCCAATTAAAAGACAGAGATTGTCAAAGTGGATCGAAAACAAGCCACTACAGTTGTCTAAAGAAACCTACTTTAAATATAAAGATACGTATAGATTAACAGTAAAGGGGTAGAAAAAGATACACCGTGTTAATACTAATCAAAAGAAAGTAGGAGTAGCTGTATTAATTTCAGACAGAGTAGACTTCAAGACAAAGAAAGTTACCAGGGTTAAAGGGGGCATTAAATAATTATAAAGGGATCAATACTCCAAGAAGACATAATAATTCTTAATGTGCATACTCCTAACAAGAAGAATGTCAAAATATGTGAGACAAAAACTGATAGAACTGCAAGTTAGAATAGATGAATCCACTATTATAGTTGGAGACTTTAATACACCTCTATCAGAAATGGACAAATCCAGCAGGCAGAAAATCAGTAAGGGCATAGTTGAACTCAACAATACCATCAATCAAGTGCCTATAACGGACAGCCTATGGCCTCCTCCATCCAACAGCAATAGCTTATGCATTCTTCTCAAGCTCACATGGAACATTCACCAAGATGGAATACATTCAGAATCATAAAAACCACCTTAACAAATTTAATAGAATAGAAACCATAACATGTCTGCTCTCAGATCACGATGGAAACAAACTAGAAATCAGTAACAGAAAGATAGCTGGAAATTTCCCAAAGTACTGGGAGATCAAACAACACAAGTCTTCTAAATAACATGAGTCAAAGAGGAAATCTGAAGACAAATTTTAAAATGTTTTGAACTAGGTGAAAATACAACTTACCAAAAATTGTGGGATGCAGCAAAAGCAGGAAACTTTATTGCATTGAATGTATATATTAGAAAAGAAGAAAGACCTAAAATCAATCATCTAAGCTTTCACCTTAGGAAACCAGGCAAAGAAGAGACAAATACATCCAAAGAGGAAAAGATAGTATCAATTAGAACAGAAATCAATGAAATTGAAAACAAGAAATCAATAGAGAAAAATAACAAAACCAAGAGCTAGTTCTTTGAAAAGATTAATAAAATTGATAAGCATCTAGGCATGCTAGCTAAGAAAAAAGAAAGAAGACACAAATTGCTAAAGATAATTAAGGGCATATCACTACAGCTGCCATGGAAATTAGAAAAATATTAAAGGGAAACTATGAACAACTCTGTGTCCCTAATTTGATAAAAAATGAAATACTTGGGTATAAGTCTAACAAAACGTGTAATATGAAGAAAACTGTAGAACTCTGATAAACAATATCAAAAAAATAGATAGTCCATGTTCACAGATTGGAAGACTCAATATTGTGAAGATGTCTGTTCTTCTCAACTTAATCTGTGGATTCAGTGCAACCTCAATCAAAATCCCAGCAAGTTATTTTGTGGGTAGCAACAAAATGATTCTAAAGTTTATGTGGAGAAGCATAAGATGCAAAATAAGCAACATGATTTTGAAGGAGAAAAACAAAGTTGGAGGACTGACACTACCTGGCTTCAAGGCTTACTATGGAGCTACAGCAATCATGAGTGTCATACTGGCAAGAGAATAGACAAATAGATCAACTGAACAGAATAGAGTACCCAGAAATAGATCCATATAAATATAGTCAAATGATCTTTAACAAAGGAGCAAAGGTAATACAATGGAGCAAAGGCAGTCTTTTCAACAAATAGTGCTGGAACAACTGGACAGCCACATGCAAAAAAAAACCAAAAAACAAAAAACACAGGGTCCTTATACCTTTCAAAAAGTTAACTCAAAATGGATCACAGAAGTAAATCCAAAATGTGATACTGTAAAACTACTAGAAAATAACATAGGAGAAAACCTAGACATTGTGTATGGTGATGCCTTTTTAGATGCAACACCAAGGCATGATCCATGAAAGAAAGAATCAATAAGCTGGACTTCATAAAAATTAAAAACTTTTGGAGAGTGGCCAAGATGGCAGAGTAGGAAGACCCTGACCTCACCTTCTCCCACAAGCCCACCAAAATTACAACTATTTACAGAGCAACCATCAATGAGAATGACCCGGAGACTAGCAGAAAAGCTCTTTTACAACTAATGATATAAAGAAAGAACCACAACCAGATGCATTGAGGGGCAAAGATGTGGTATAGTCAAGACCTGTACCCAAGCAGGCAGCCCACAAAGGAGGATCACTATAATTGCAGAGGTTCTTCTCGAGGATTGAGGAGTCTGAGCCCCACATTGGGCTCCCCAGCCTGGGGTCCTGCACTGGGAAGACCCCCAGAATGTTTAGCTTTGAAGGCCAATGGGGCTTACTTTCAGGAGAACCAGAGGGCTGTAGGAAACAGAGATTCTGCTCTTAAAGGGCACACACAAAATATCACATACTCTGAGACCCAGGGCAGAAGCAGTAATTTGAAGGAAGCCTGGGTCAGACTTGCTGATCTTGGAGAGACTTCCAAACTATACTATGAAGCTACAGTAATCCAAACAGCATGGTATCAGCACAAAAAAACTCATAGACCAATGGAACAGAATAGAGAGCCCAGAAATAAACTCATACTTTTATGGTCAATTAATCCATGACAAAGGAGGCAAGAATACACCATGGGGAAAAGACAGTCTCTTCAATAAATGGCGCTGAGCAAAACAGACAGCTACAGGCAA